CAAGATTGATATTTAACAAGTTAATTATAATATTTATAAAGCATAATATTAATAATATTAATAATAATAATAATAATAATAATTATAATAATAATAATATTAATAATAATAATAATAATAATATCAATAATAATAAATATGAGTTATAATAACATTCTGATTATCCTGGTGCTTATCAAGGATGTTTTCTCCATAGTTTTGTCTGAGATTCAAGTTATTTTATACAGTTATATACTTGATATATTCTTGAGCAGAATAGGAAGAATCGAAGAGGAAGGTTTATTCTTTTCTGTCGAATGCAAGCAAATTTGATCAGAATCAAACTTCTATATCGTGGAGTAACGCTCTCTCTCTCTCTCTCTCTCTCTCTCTCTCATTTAAGATCTAATGTCTTGGTTTAAAAATCTTTTGCTCTTTAAATTCTTAAACCTGATTCAGCCTATAAAGGGAACCCAACAAAATATTACTACTTCATCTAATTACATATGACATATAACTAAAGCTGTCCTTTTAAATATTATTATGGCGCAATTATCTTAATTGATAAATGAATGCACTAATGTCTTTGCCAGGCATTGAATCTTCGGCAGCCCCAAGACGCAATTTTTTATACACCTGTTTTCTGTTTCTGTTTCTGTTTCTATTGTCACGTGGCCATCCCCAAGTGGAGCGCACGAGGCGCTTCCTTCAGTTCGCTTATATAAACATTTGTACTCTATTTATTTATATATATTTGTACACTTTTTTTTTCTCTGTTTGCATAACCAAGTTGAGCTGCTTGAACGGCAAGTGTTGGACTTTTCCATTCATTAGGTAATGTGGCGCGGTTTTATGTCTTGGCCAGAAGCAGGCCCAGAGAAGCGTAAGTGAGCAGACTGAGACCGCAAAATGGCAATACGCCGAGCATGGCCGGCAACGTGGCTTGCTGGCAGCCCGGCAACCCGGCACACCCGAAACAGTCGGGCTCCCGCATTCGCGAAGGGAAGGGCCGCCATGACATTTAAGTCACGTAGCCATGTTGAGTAATGCGACACGTTGCCATTGATGGCCCGTTGACGATGAAGTGCAAGTTGGAAATAGAAATAGAAATCGAAATGAAAACGAGTCAAAGTCTCTTGTCTGTGGGCGTGACAGCATGTGGGTGCCTGTTGTCTGTGGGCGATGTGTGTGCGCGCGTGTGTGTTGCCATTGTGACAAGGACGCTAAAGTCAAGTGGCAGCCACGTGATGGCTGCTGCAGGCGCCACTTTCGACATCAACTGCTGGCCGTGCTCCGTTCCCGCTGCGGATAGCTCGGGCATTTGTTTACTTTTGATTTTGCGCATTGATTAGCGCCGTCAGCTGCCACCTGCCACCTGCCACAAAGTTTGCATATTTATTATGCACTCGATGCTCAAACATTGCGGTCGCTGCGGTCTCATTACCAACTAAAAACTTGGCTAAAAGCACAAAACCAGCTGAAAAATGAACCAACACTGGCGCCAGGTGTGGATTGCCGTTGTTGCTGCTGGTGTCGATTGCGGATGCTGCTGCTGACGTCAACAAAGCCCTCTCACAGCGGCGGCTGCCTCTGATGCTGCTGTTGTTGGCAGTTGCTGTTGCAGGCAAGTTTTGCATCAATAACTACGCATTTTTATTGCAGTGTAACAGCGGGTAGTAGAGCAGCGGGCAATCGCGTAACAATGCAGCGCACAACAAGTGCACCCACAGTCAAGTGGATACTCTAATCAACAGGCTTCCAGAAAACTCTTTGCAGCAGCGCATGGGGCCGGGGTGAGCTGGGCTTTCACAGGTGCGTAAATGGAAACTTGCATAGTTACATGGCTGTTGTTGCCCACAAGTTTTTGAGTATTTCAACTATTTGCTGAGCTTTACGACTGACTCAGCCAAGTCATCAGCCGCCGCATGTTTACGCTACACACTTTTAGCTGCATAAGATGAATCAACTGCTGATCCTTTGAAACTTTCAGCTGAGACCTTAGCGAATTAACTTGTCGGCTATGCAACACTTTATTCGACTGTTTCAACCGTTGCGTCAGACCTATTCATGCTGATGACGTGCTTATCAGCTGACTGCCAGTCTACTAGACCTCCGGCCTTAGAAGATGCACCGGTTTGCAAATTGAACTGTGTGTGTAAGGTGGCAGGCAATGAATGGATATATTTCACGAAATCACATTGAATATTCATATTCATATTCATATACAACTTCATATTCATATTCATATTCATATTCATATTCATATTCATATTCATATTCATATTCATATTCATATTCATATTCATATTCATATTCATATTCATATTCATATTCATATTCATATTCATATTCATATTCATATTCATATTCATATTCATATTCATATTCATATTCATATTCATTTTCATATTCATATTCATATTCATATTCATATTCATGTTCATATTCATATTCATATTCAACTTCATATTCATATTCATATTCATATTCATATTCATTTTCATATTCATACTCATATTCATATTCATATTCACATTACACTTTACACTTTTCTAACACTTAATTGTAGTGTTTGAAGAGCTGAGACAGGCTGCTGTTGCGCTTATCAGCTAACTGCCAGCCACTAGCTAACTTAAACAATAGGTGAATGTGTTTCATTAAATTGCGAATGTATTCATGAATGGTCTCAGCTTATGGCTTATACAGATTGTGCTCTCTTCAAACCGCTTTTTGAGAGGAAAGCAAAGAGCTGCAGTTGGGCAGCTTGAGGAGGGAGACAGCGACGTTCAATTTGTAGACACGTGAGAATCTTATCACAGAGCACAGAACTGGAAAGCGGGAGAGTGGGGGGGACTGTGGTTGAGTGGGCGGGGAGCTGCCACGCCCAGCGATAAGCCGTGCACGTCTGCGACATTGTCGCATTTGTCGTCATCAGCTACTGCTTGGCGGGCGCACACGTACGGCATATAAATAACATTTCGATTTGCCGTATGACAAACCGAGCCAAATGCCACAAATTATGCACCCCCAGTTCCCCTTCTGAGCTCCAGCCCCCAATTCGTCGAAGGGCCACACAAAAGGCAAAACATAAAAGGAATGTAAATCGAGGCACTTGACATTGCGCATACGACGCGTGCGCCCACCAGAATTCGCATAGTTTTAAATGCCGTCTAGTATTTGACTTTGGACTTGAGCCGAAGCAGAAGGGCCTTGGGACTTCAAGCAGACCATTAGTGGCACCCAGAACTAATAACAGTTACCGTAAGTAGCAGCTACTAACTGTAGTTGCAATTGCTGAAATGGCTCCTGATGAGCTCTTCAGCTGGCCCCCAACTCAAATATTAACTGTGGCCTCTTGACTCAGCTGCCAATGCTGTCATTTCCAAGAGAAAATGCTGAGTGGGCAGCCCGTCAACAGATATATAAATATATTTGCATTATAAACATCGGAATATTTAGGAACCAACCCAAGGTTCGGCTCGTGAATCTGTTTTTCATAGCAGTTCGGGCTGGGTTTCCTACAATTGAACTTTTCGAGTAAGTTCAGCTCGTTTCGGGCTAAAGTTAGGCTGATCTTGACTTGGAGTCAAGGCTGTTTATATAAGCCTAGGCACTAGCTAGAGTTCCGTCACTTCTCCAAACTGTTTTCTCACTCGACAATGCAATTGGCGACAATTTTTTATGCATCAAAGCAGGCGTCGCTTGAAATATGAACATATACGCATAGATTTGTATTAGAGACTTCAGTATAGCTCGAGACGCAGCTCTCGGCACAACACAAAATCAATTTATAAAGAAAGAAAGTAAAAAGCATATTCAAAATTTAAAAATGAAAAACGCGAAAAAAAAGAAATCCTATTAAAATTCCATTTCGAATAACATGCAGATAATAAGTATAATATAAAGCACACATCCTCTCTCACACATACACGTAATTAGCCATTTGTTGCAGGTAAGTACCAGGAAACTCTGCCGCCAGGACTTTTATGAACTTTTTACCTTTCTGCTTGCAGTTTGCTCACAGGACTACCCGTGATGTAAGTAGCGCACATTTTGAATGAAACGCAATATGCTTGGCATCAGTTCCGCTCTCCTTAGAACACTCTAGTCGCTTGTTATGCTGATGATTCAATTCTTTGCCCCTACGAATATTCAAAAACTCTACGTAAACTCATAGGCAAGTCGCAAGTCGCACGTCCAAAAAAATATACTCAACAATACTCAACTTGTATTTGCAGACACAAGAGACACAAATACAAGAAACAGAGGAATAACATATAATTCCATTTTTATGTTAGGATGGAATTCATATGCTTATTATAGTTATCGTATTTCCATGTGTGCTACGAGCCGATCAGATTATGTGGTTTCTGGTAAGTGAATGTGCAGAAAGCCAACGGCAAAAACTCTTAACCATATTCCCGCCGAGTTATATCCACAGATCGGCCTAGACATATACGAATGGAGACTAAAAAAAACAGTCTTATTTTTGTGGCGCGTACATTTAATTAAATTTCATACATTTCAAATAGTTCTACAATAGCTCGGACAATCTTCAACGATTGCTATTGCTATGTTATGCTATAAACAGCTGGGATTGCCCAGAAATGCACTTTGGTAAGCGAACAGTTCATATTTGGATCCAAACGTAAAACTAATCTATCTGCTTTAATTCTTGCAGATACTCGGATGCACTCTATATACAAATAGTTCAACAACACATCTTGACTTCCATACACACTTCTATCGAATATGCATATATAAATGTGTATATATATATATATATATATATCCAATTTGGTATGATTTATTTATGTAACTCTATATGACTCAGTCGTTTCTTCAATACACTATTGCTGGCCTTTGAAAAGGTTTTTCGCATTTTTATTTAGAAATCCATTTTAGGGGCGGGGGTTGATTGGAGGGCCATTGAATTGAATTATTTGCTGTGTAACATTAACAAGGCAAGAAAATCAACGAGAATTTCAATTAAATGTCAACAACTCCTCGGCCTGACCTTCATTGTTGTCGCATAACGTACGAAATGGAACAATAAATTGAATATTGGCTGTACGGGCAGACAGACGGCCAAATGACTTAAGAGCATTATACGGAAGAGGAAGACGGAAGACGGAAGACACAAGCCAGCACCCAAACGAGACTGAAATCGAATTCGAAAACGAAAACTAACAAAACAACTGTCACTAAATAAGCCAATGGTACCTAATGGAAATGTCAATCGCAAGATAATGTTTTATTGTGCCATTGAAATGATTCCGGCTCGCATTGTTATCAAAGATACTTATACAATGGCCAAGCCGGATCGATATGGCTGGCAAATGTGTTATGCAAAAGAAACGTGTTTTTTACTTTAACTTGAAGGCCAAATTTAACATGCATGTTGCTGTTGCTGGCATATGTACGTCTTTTTGAGTGGCAGCACAAGACTGGCCCTGTTCGAGCTCTGTTCGCATAATCAAATTTGGGCATAGCTTAAATATTTAATCCCGAAAAGCCCTGACAAATTTCTATTTAGGCAAAAGGCTTGGCAATCTTAAGCCTAGGCACTTCATTTACCATAAAGCGAACCTCAAATTGAACTAGTTGGAATATGTGACAAGCCAAGGCTCGAACCAGGACCTGGTGCAGAGCGAGACTCATGAGTCGCACCTCAAGGCGCGGCATCGAATCGAGCCTTGGCTTAGGCCAAGGAGCATGATACAAATCTTATATACCCTTTCTCTCCTCGGCTACAGAGTACAGTAAATATGTATATTGCATTCGATACGCAGAAAAGCAGATACTCTTGGCTTTGATTATGATGCTGGAACTATGTTAAATGAAGCTTGATGAGCACTTTCCATAAGAATAATGCCACAAAGTGCAATACTATACTGTGCTGAAACGAGCTGCATGCCAATGGCACTGATAAAGGAAAGGGAATGTGCACGGGTAATGGGTTATAGGTATTAAGAGTATATGGGTATGGGACCTTATGGCATTCCATTACCTTGACGCAACTGGGACAAGCTCGTAAGCTACTTGGAAAATGTGTTGCATAGTTTAAGGCGGCCCTCAGAGTCGGCGCCTGGGACAGGGACAGAGACAGAGCAGGAGCCAAGAATTGTGGCATGGCGCTGGAGCAGGAAGCAGGGACCAGGGACCAGGGAGCAGGGAGCAAGCAGCTGCCGGCATAGAAGCTATCAACTATAGTCGAGGAAATTACTTTTAACATTTCGAATGCTGGCTGCCAGTTGGTAGCGGCCACAGGGCGCAGAGGGCAGAACGAAGACGGCAGCCGACTTGAAAGTATATATTTATATATTTAAAAAAAAAAGAAAAAATGAAGAAGAAGAAAAAAGTGAGCAGTCAGCAGTCAGGGACAGCCATAGAGGGACTGGCTTGGAGACGAGCAGTGGAGCAGTAAAGTAAAGCAAATGAAAAACAGGAAAATTATTTGATTTTTATGCATTTCACTTAAGCAGCAAAGAGGGCGCCCGGGACATGAGCGGCGGCGAGGCGCACAGGGCGCCAACGTGGATGAGCAGAGGCAGCTGCAGCAGCAGCAGCAGCAGCAGAAGTAGGAGCTGCATTTTGAGCCGAAGCCGGACCTGGAGTCGCAGTCGGAGTCTGGGCGTCGCGCTGTCTGGCAACTTGCTTGCATTATAGATGAAGTTCCGTGCGATAAATAAAGCAAATAAATGCAATCAGGAATAATAATTCGAGCAGCAGTCAAATAACTTGATTTCCCATAACGTTCAGCGCCTGCGACGCATAAATAAAATTTTCAGCGTTAAGCCAATACTGTCAAGGAATAAACCCTATAAAAATAAAAGACGAAGAAAAGTGAAGCGAGTGAAAAAGAAAATTTACGAGAAACTGTCGAAGGGTTTCGGCTCTTCGAGCCTCATGCGCTCGGATCGTAAATAAAGCCAAAGCCTATCTTTAACGCCCCGAAAATTATACAACACTAGCGGCCACAAAGCACGCAACAAACACGATACGCTCTACCCTAGTCATACCCTGTAAAAGTATGCAAGCGCAGCAGACATGCTAACTTCAAAAATAGGAAAGTATAATAAGTATAACATATCTGGTACAGATTAAGCTTTTGGGTAAAGAATCGTAAAGAAGCTAAACATTATGAAAAGCTTTCATGTGCTTTTAACCAGTATCGGGAGCTTTCAGTTTTTACCAACTTCTGTAACAGCAACTCGGTTTCCTCCCATTAAAAGCTCGTTTGAGAACGGCTTCAATTTTCTTATCTTTGCTTTAATCGAGGTTTACTTCATGTCCAATACAATTTATGCTGTTGAAAGCAATTTATGCGCTTTCAAAAGCTCTTCAGTTTAACCTAAAATGAGCTGAGAATAAAATCGATTAATTAATCCTGCTGAATGCTTTCAGGGGCTTTCAAAAGCTCTTAATGTGCACCAAAAAATTAATGAAACTAAAGCGAGCATAGCATCAATTATATGTTCGCATCGAAAACTTTAATATGCTTTAAAAGCTCGTTGCATTGAACGCACGAAATGTGTCAATATCAATTGATTTGCACACTCAATTGCAATTTATTAATGTTCGATTGTCACTTACAACGAATGTCAATGTAAATAAATTAAATTATCTCTCGCAATTGTTTATCTTTTATTTACAACAACTTACGTAGCATAGCCACAACTGTCCCGTGGGGCATAGGGTATTGCAACGCAACAACTTTTCGGCTTATGCCGCAGGCCAAGATTTTCCAGTTCACGTTGCCCGGCCCGATCCCCGATCCCCGATGCTCCATGGCGCCATCACTCGCCGGCTGGCAAAACTTAATTATGCATGGTTAACACGAAAACTCAATAAATTTTCAAATAAATTCACAGGAAAACGTCCATGTGTGTGTGTGTGTGTTTGTGTGTGTTTGTGTGTGTGTAAGTATTGGTGTGCGGTCTATGTAAATTTTATTTGCTAAAGGATTTTTCATGAAGTTTCCTGCCTCTGCCGCTGTCGCTTCTGTTGCATTTAGATTTATTTGCGACGTGTGTGTTATGTAAAACCTATTAGAGCGCCACCCAAGTCCAGGCACAGCTCCAGGCAGTGGCAGAGGCGACGTCGCCGGCGCCGGCGCAGGCTCAAACCTAGGCAACAGGCAAAGCCCAGCACAGCAGAGCTCACGTGTGCCACTGCCGGCCATTCAATTTGGCCCGGGGCGCTCAACTGTTGCACAAGAACTGCCGCAGCCAGAAACGAGAGTGCGGCAGAAGCCGAGGCCAAAGTCAAAAGCACAGCCACAGCCAGAGCCACAGCCAGAGCCAGGAGCTGAACCAGGCAACGGCTACAGCCATGGCTCCAGGCACCTGGCAACTAATCGCCTGTTGAAATGGCTCACACAGCCGCCAAAGTAAGGCAAATTTATTGAGTTCTCATATTGAGCAACGTTATAAGAATAATGCAGCAAACAAAGCCGCCCCAGCAACAACATCACCAGCAACCAAATGAAACCGAGCCAAGCAATGGAGCTGGAGCTAACGCAAAACCTTGAGATGGAGGTGGACGTGTAGGTGGAGTTGGGCTTGGAGCTTGTAGGTTGGAGCTGGCGTGCGCTACAACTGCCCCAAGGCTGGGCGTATTTGTCAGCCATGGAAGGCACGCTAAGACGATATTTGTACACAATTATATTGAAACATTAAATGTAATATAATCAAATATTATACAATTAGAGCACGCACGCAATTCGATATTTGAAGAACTTCCTCCTAATAGGAATAAGAACATATTTGGCAAATGTAGGATTGATCTTAATGCTATCAAACCGATTTGAATGCAGAGTTTCAATTTATTTTAACTGGGCACTATTATAGTTTATTCAATAAAATCATGCTAATCAATTATTTGCAAATACAAGAAATTGAGGTAGCTCCAAACTTTTTTCAATTCAATTTGTTTTATTTGGCGCTGGAATCGAGCAGAACTTTCTGAACTTCACCAAGCGAAAGACTATGAAAGTAGAGTATAGTTAAAATGTTCTGTAACTTATTAGAAAGCTCCAAACCTAAAGTAAAAGTATGTTTGGCCTATAGCCAATGCACCAATGTAATCATATCTGATGCATGACAATTTTGGGCACAAATCAAATATAGCCCGCAGCTTCTATGTGAAAATATTTACGGCTCACAATATTTTCTGTAGAACGGGCAAATATTATTAATGAAATGAAAAATTATATAAAAAATAAAAAAGAATGACAAATCAAGGGTTGAACTAAAAACTGGACTCAACAATCTGAAAACACAACCTAACGAACCAGATCCTAAATCAGGGATAAACGATAATATTTTGAGCTGCCAGACCTCTTAAAGATTAGCTAGATCTATTCAAAATTAATGCCAACGAGCAAAGTACCCAAAGTTAGAGCTAGATTCATGTGTTTGTTGGACAACTTGGCAACCCTGGAGCTTCTCAATCTCTTTTATCTTAAATCAAACATTGCAGGTGATCTCAAGGTCGTTGTTAGCCGGTAAAAGGTTTATAGCGCCGGATACGCCACTCACACGACCAACGCAAACTACTGTAAAATGTACGCCCACAAGCGTGCACACACACACACACACACACACACACACACACACACACATACACGCACATAGACAGACGCACAGCAGTAGAGTGGAGCTGCAAGACTCAAAATACTTTGCAAAAAGTAGCAGTAGCAAAAAGTGAAATGAAGCCGAAAAGCAAATAGAGCATAAATTACGCAAATCCAACACGACACTTTACAGCGCAGACTGCGACGCCAGCAGCAGCAGCAGCAGAGGCGGCGGCAGCGGCGGCGAGAGGACGGCGCGACAGCACAGCCGGACAGCTCATGCGTTTGTGTGCGTGCTCAAACACACACACACACTCACACACATACTCGTACAGTGGGGGAGTCAGAGAGACAACAAATAAGTTAAGTCAAAGTCAGAAGAGCAGACAAACATTGCGTGCGAACGAGAAGGGGCGGCGGGCGGGGAGGGGCAACATAATACTATGCTATCTCTGTCGCACGATGGCCACTGTCAGTGCAGTAAAAGTGTAGCATGCAATCAGGCGCCAAATGCTCAAGTGTCTCATTGTCAGCATGTTGCATGCAACACGCCGTCTACGCTGGATGGTGCCGGCACTGACGGGGCAATGGAAAATAAAGTAAAATGAACAGCAACAGCAGCAGCAGCAGCAGCAGCAGCAACAAAAATGTTAAAGCAAGTAAATAAACATTGTGTGCCATTATCAGGCACTGCCAGCAACAACAATCACAACAACAACTACAGGAACAACAACAACAGGAACAACAGGAACAACAACACCAGCAACAACTACACTTACAACAACAATCAACACACCAGGCAACATAATTTGCAGTTGCAACTGAGAACTTTTCAATGGCTTGAAGCTGAAAAAGCTGACAGTCCAGAGAGGGCAAAAATAACGCCGCACAGTGTCCCACAAGCATTCAACATTCGCCCAAAAACAACTCCAGTTTTCATTAAGGATTGCGCACTGCACTTCTATATAATGGATTAATTAATTTATAAATAATAAAAAATTAAATCAAATTAATTTTATATTATATTGAAATATAAAAAATTATTGGGAGTATACAAATAAAATAAAAATGTTGTTATTTTATTCAAGTTTACCATTAACACATATTCTGAATATGACTAAAGTCGAACGAATGAAAAAAAAATGTTTTAACACAACCGTTTTTCGCGCATATTCCGAACTAAGGGGTCGGTCGCTCATATCTTATATTCGGAACCTGGAGGTGGTTTTGCCAAAAAGCGTGAAATACATATGCAATCATTTTTGCTAAAATGCAGCAAGCTGAGCTTGAAACCGATCGAATGGTAGGCGAAAAAGTAGTTTTCCAACCATTTGCCACACAAATGTTTTCCAAAAATATCTATCGGCTCCTTACAAAAAATAAGGTGACAACAGAAAAAAAATATGCGTCATAGAGTTCAACATAAATATACAAATATACATATAAAAATATAAATAATACAATTTTATAAAAATATAAATTTTAACATTTAAGTCTTATAATGCTGACTTGGCAATTTTGTTCAATTGATCTGTCATTCTAGATTGTAGCCCATGCAAAGCGACTTCGAACCACTGTGCGATGTGGGCTGCTGCCAGTAACGGCAATGTCCGATGCCTGGCACACAGCCGGATATGCCGGCGAACCTGATACTTTTCGTGTGTGTGTGTGAGTATGTGGCAACTGAGTGTGAATAGGTGTGCATGTGTGAGTGTATGTGATTGTGGATGAGTGTCTGTGTGTGTGGAAGTGGGAGTGTGTGCAGCTGCATGGTTGAACAGTCAATGGCGGTGCAGCCGAAAGACCGGAAGTGCAGCCGAGCAACAGCATTGCAAGTGTGCCGTGTGTGATTGCGTGTGTGTAAGTGAGTGTGGCTGTGTGTGTGTCTGTGTGTGCATGTGAATCAGCTAAACAAAAGTGGCACAGCCAACAACGAGCTGGGGCGAAATGAAAGAAAAAAACACACACAAGTTGACATAAAAATTGTACAAACTGAAAATGATTTGTGTGGCCCAGAGTCACCTACACTCAGGCAAAAAATTTTTAAGCACACAGACACACACACACACACCAACACTCACACAGCCACAAACTAACACACGCTGAAAGCAAATCGAATAAATCGCCTGCATTGACGCTTGAACGATTAGGAGACGAAATGACACATGCGACAGCGATTCTCATTTATGTAACCCGCCCTTGCCCCACAACCTCTATCCCCCCCCCCCCCCCCCCCAGTCTTGCTGTATTTGTCCATTGAGTCTATAGTCTGCATGACATAGTTTTCGGTTCAATGACCCGCTGCACCATCTGCAGTTGATTTGGTTGCCATTTGGTTGGAATCAATTTCTGTGACAAAAAAAGACATCGAACTAATTGAAAGCTTTGCAAGATGCTGCCCAAAAATTAATATCAAATGCATTTTTCAAGTTGCGCATATTTTCCAAACTAGCTTGTACTATGAAAGTGCACTTTCGACCAAATGAAATTGCCATTTCCTTAACAAAAAGTTGCCAAAAGCAAAGGATACGGATAATTGAAAGGCTTGTCTAACAGTTATTAAAATCAATAAATATATAAATATATATATACATATATATATATATTTTTATTTATCATATAAGTGCACACTTGTTTTATGATATTTATACTTTGAAACGGCAGAGTTAAGCGGAGACAAGACGCCAGTTGTAAGAGAGGACAAATTACATTTATAAGAACATAATATTTCACGTTTAACTGCAATAATTGGATATTCAATAAGCAAAACTTTTCTTGTATAATAGTGTAGCCAGCACTTCTTTTCAGTTCAGAGTTCTGCATGGTTTTTAACCATAAACTTAAAAGTTAAAGTTGAACACGATTATCATAATAATAATATTAATAATAATAATAAATATATATAATAGTCAAATCTGAAACTAGGCTTTAAGCCAAACTGGTTTGAACTGGAAATTTCAATATTATTTTAACCATGAGAAGAATCGCCAGCGTTAAGAACCTTAAGCCTTAAATGAGCAATATGAACAAAATGGTTCAAAATGATCATCTATTTCCACATAGAATAACAAAATCGAAATTTAATAAATTTATGTTTTGGAAGAGCCGACATCGATGTTTTCTAAAAATTGTTGTATATCGAAACATCGAAAAAAATCGATAAATCGATTTCACTATTTCAAAAGAATATTTCGATTTGGATTATGAAAAATATTATTGCCAAACCTTAAACAAATTTGAGTTTATGTACAATAAATAAATAAATAATTGATTGTTTTAAAGAAAATATGACGATTCCCAAACTGGGTTCATAAATGTGGAAGAACAAGTTCATGAACCGAATCAAAGCGAGGCACTGCAAATACATGCATATATGTATGTACATACATATGTATATATATTAATGCACATATACTAGTTCCAGTTTAAGTAGCTCAAACTTTTCTTTCCATGGGCAATAAATTTCAAACGGGCCCTGTATTAAGGCTAATAGAAGAGCAAAACTTGGCCAAATTGTAGAAGGTGTGCACACACTTACCCAGTTAGTTGACGTTGTCCTTGGCGTTGCCTGGCCTGGCCTGGCCTGGCCTCGACTCGGCTGGGCTGGGCTGGGCTCGGCTCGGCTCGAATTGGCTGAGCGCCTAATTAGCAGCGAGTGAAAGTCACGTGAAATGTTGCCATTGATTATGATGAGGTCGCACTGTTGGCGCTCTAATGCCAAACACTTTGGCCTAATGCGTTTACGCTGCTGATCGTGCTGGACGGCGGCGTGGCGGTTAGAGGGGGGCGACGGCGTATGGGCTCAATCGAGTTGTTGGCACGGATATACCGAGACCGAGGCATTGTTGCTATTATTAGTGCCAGGCCAAGGGGCTTAAACACACACAAACACACACACACACGCGCGCAACAGACAATTTCCGCTGCACAAATTGGCCAACTTGCCAGGCAGCCGCCGCCTAGGCCTAGGCCAGTGCTGGGCTGCGGAGTCCTGGCCACCGCCGCTTTGGCCAATGTAATTAATACCAACATAATTATATTTGGATAACACAAACGTAATCAAGATTAATTGAGTAACAGCAGGTAGTTTGCATAATTAGAGCTACGTTGCCAGCGCAGACAGTCGCCAGCTCTTGATGCTGCCTCTGCCTCTGCCGCTGCCGCTGCCACTGCTTCAGCTGCTGCTGCAGTCGGAAGCAGAGCTCGACAGGCTGGCAGCCAGGCAGGCAGCGTCCATCGTGCACATCGTTAATCGTCCAGCACCCACAATTCCTTCAACTGGCCACTGGCAATGGCAGCAGCGTTGACTGTTGACTGTCGTCGCTACGTTTTGGCCATGGCCAAAAACATAATTTGCAATTTCAAATGCGTCCGCTCACACACGCACTCCCCGACAGCTCGCACTCGGCTTCAGTGCTGTCAGTTCAGCTATTTTCCAGCCAAAAGCGGCTCTTTGAAGTGTTTATCGGCCTGTTTAAATTTGCGGCTGCCTGCAATGCAGGCTATTTTTAAGCTGATCTAGCCATTTTTCCTTGAGCTTTCTCCAAAACAATAGAGTTTCTTTGACCGCGTGCACTTTCACTGTATTAACTGGCTGTGCTTATCGTCTATCGATAGCGCTTACGTTTTTGTCATCACTAGCTTTGCACTAAAAAAGGTGTGACCAACGCTACAAAGGCCAAACGCCAAAACCGTTGAACAAGTTTATATGCTTTGCTTCAGCAAGTGAACCTTTCCAGCTGCTTCACGGGAAACTGCTCAGAGGGGTGGCAGTTCTTGGCCTCGTTGTGTGCCAACAATGTCCAATTAATCCTTGCTAATTAAATTGAACTATTTTTAGACTTTTTGAACACTGTTGCTAGCATCTTTTTAGGGACAGTTGCCAGCACTGGTGTGCTCTCTGCTTTGGCTTTGGGCTTTGGGCAGCATTATCATGGGCAGCTTCATCATCTCCAACGCTATGGTCGTCTTGCTTAACTTCATTCGAATACAATTCCAGTTTCAGTTGCTGCTGCTGTTTTTGTTGTGGTTGTTGCTGTTGCTTTTGCTGTTTTAGCTCCTGTTGCCTGGACAACAGCTCACAAGCTGCTTGTTGCTGCCGCTGCCACTGCCGCTGTTGCATCCACTCAGCTTAATAAGAACGCCTAATGACCATTGCACTGGGCTACTTCCTAATGGACTGACCGTCCTGTGTGTAGCTGGCCGAGCACAGTGTGTTGCCATTTTAAGCACTGGGTCGCATTCCAATTTACTTTACAAAGTCACATTTATTTTTTGTCCAAAAATGCCCAGGGTTTTGACATTTTGACCCTATTTGAATGTCGGAATTACTTCGGCACAATATGTAACAAAATGTTGGCCACAATTCGATTTTAAATGGAAACAAAAGGCTACGAGAAACTTATTTCGATTGATTGGTTTCTTTTTTCAGTTATGTATTGGCTTTGACGCCCATTAGAAGTAACTTACGGGTTTTAAGCCCCAGGCTAGCCTTTGATAATTCAAAGCAGATAGCTTTGACAGCTTTTCATTTAAATGAGGTTTGCTTTAAAGTCTTTAAATTAATTGATTAGTCATTAATCAGTTACAAATCTATTATGAATCAGAAGTTAATCTGTATAGAGACAATAGCAAAAAGCTGGTCACACCGTCTTAGACAAAAGCGTGCCGCTAAATTATCGATAACACTATCGAATTTCTAGTTACTGTACATCTGTTACCTCAACTGGCAATATTAGAAAAATGTACAACATTTTAACTGTCAACCCTGAGCACAAGAATTGCTCTAATTTAATTAAAATCAATTTAGAAATATATTTTAATTGTCGGATTTGGGTATATGGAGCTGGCCGGGTGCAATCTTTTCCGGCAGATGCTCCACCTCCGGAGTGCGCCCGAAGAGCTCAAACTGATAGTTCAAGTAGTCGTACTCATAGAGTTCCTCAGGCGCCACATAATGAAAGGCCACCGGATAGTCAGAGAGGCAGTCCATGCACTGAAGGAGGAGGGCCAATTGGACAACTGAAGTAGGCTACATGGTTGGACTTACCGCTCGCGGATTGTAATAGGCGTATTTGAAGAGCCAGAAGTCCATGCCATTGTATTTGGAGAGGAGTTGGGAGAAGGGCGCCATCGGAAAGAAGCGATTGCGCAGCTTCGAGTCGCGCGAATCGCCCGCGGGCACGCCCAAGTTAAAGAGGCAAGTGCCCGCCTCCACATCCTCGGCATGATCGTCCTCCTGCCGGCACTTGCTGCTGTCATTCAGGCCGTGCACAAATAAACGCAGTGCCTCACGGCTGAGCACATAGCCGCTGCCCCCCGACATGTACGACTGTACAGGAACGAAAAAGAATGAGACAGAGCGATGGTTGGAGAAAGAGAAATCAAATGATTATATTAATTCTAGAGCTCATTTGGTACTTACTGCATTCTTTGCCCGGCTGTTGAAAAGTTTGTAGTTGAAACCAAAGTGAATGGGCAAGTCCGGAGAGTAGGGATAAAGCATGTGGCGCAGATTCTCCACAAATACATATCTGCAAATGTAGTTAACATCAGTTAACAAGTTTAAATTAACAATATAATAATGAATTTATATAAGCAACAAAATCAGTAAGCTAGTTGAAAACATGAGAATCGCAAAGAAAGGCGAAAGTAAAAAACTGAGAGACAGACAATATTAGTAAAAGAGAAGAAAAAAAGAAAAATAGTGTGAAAACTAGGAAGAGAGACAGAGAGTGAATAAGATGGAATACAAGAGAGAATAGAAATGAAAACGATATTGAGGGTAAGTGAGAGAGAGGTCGATAAAAGAAGGGGAAAAATAATATTTATTTTTTCTGGGCTCAGACGAATAGAGTGAACTAGAAATTTTAGCTTACTTCGCGGCATGAGAATCGCCAAGAAGGGCAAAAGAGAAAAAACGAAGTTATATAGTTAATAAGAAAATATCCCGGAGAGAGAGATAAAAAGAAGGAAGGAAAACTTCCCTGAGATAGAGACAGAGAGGAAGAGAGAAGATAGATAAAGAGGTTGAAAAAATACGATGTTGAGATTAACGAGACAGAGAGAGAGAGAGAGAGAGAGAGAGAAAGGAACTAACTAATACCGACAAGCTGATCAAGAATATATAAATACTCTATGTTATACAACCACGCTTCAGCTAACTGGTTAACGAAATGGTTCTCTTAGGTTTACTTTACTTTACTTCCTTTGCTAGTTCACCTACGTATCATCGTCGGCCTTCATGAACCAATCCGCCTCGTCCAGTTTGTTCTCGTAGATGTAGGTGAATGCCTCCTTTGTCTTGCCCCAGAGAACCTCGTACTTGTCCGGCTTGGTCAGCACAATTGTCTCCAGCTCATCATCCGGCTCCGAGGTCATGAAGTAGATTTTATTGCATCTCTTGCCCCAAGTGCGCTGTATGTGCACCGCCCGAGATTTATGATACTTGGGCGTGGTCAGCACCCAGCAGAGCACACGCACCTCCTTCTCCAGCTTCAATGCCAGCGGTTCGCCGGATATTATTGGCTGCACATCACTTTCCGAGCCTATTACAGTAAGCATCATGACGTCCCAGTAGGCGTAAAGCAAAACCAGGAAGCTGGCGCAGATGAGAAGAAACATCAACTGATGACGCCGCGACAGGCGATAGACACTGGGCCGAGCGCCCCCCAGGAAGACGTGCAGCTCATCCCGCTTCTTTGCCCCAGAACCAACCATAGAGACCAGCCGATCGTGCAGCTGCTCTTCCAGTATGATCTTGTGCTCGGACATTTTGGCACTGCCTCACAGTTCTGGCGTGGTGCTGGCTTAGTGCTGGCCCCACCATTAACCAACTGATAGCGTTTTCTACTGAAGTGGCATCTTATCTGCGACAAGTCGGGCATGTTCGACACACTATTAATGAGTATTGAACCAAGTTACAGACGTCGCGCTCCATCAATGTTTCATATCTTTTCACAGCAGTTGCAGTCGTTGGCTCTAAAACTGTAACCGCAGAACAGAAACTTTAAAACTGACTATCTAATAGTATTAGAAATTACCCGGCGTCACCTGCGTGCAATGATTGATCAATATTGAAACCAACTACAACACGCGCCTGTCCATCGCATCTTCTCGGATGTTTAAATGTAAAAATTGTAAATTACAACTGAATTTGAGCCAGCGACTTTTCGCTTGTTAATGCAAATCAGATAAACGTTGAGCGTTGAACTCTCCAGAACCTCGACTTAGTGCTCAAAAGAAAGAAGCGAATTCGCCCCGTGTGAAAGGTTGTTGCTCTGGCGCAAACATATGCTAATCCTGTCCAGCAGCTGTCGCTGGGGCTCTTGTTGACATTTGCCATGCAAACCGCTCGACAATCGTAGAAATTTGTTTAAATTTGAAGGCAGCGACAATTTATCAAAACGCCATGGACCGTGGGCCATGGGCCATGGACCATGGGCCATGGGCAATGGCGTTTGGCAATAAGGCAGCGCCCCAAAAAACAAAGGACAAACATACCGAAACAGTTGAGAGAAACTTTCAATTAATCATGAGCGACATGTGGTCCTCTCCGGGCAGACCGCCGAGCGCGAGAATAATTATACGAGCGTAGCGTATACGCCCCCTTAGCCAACCACTGTGGGGCTGCTCTGATCCGGACTGGGAGGGGGGTTGCTAGGGAGGGGAGGGGAGGGGCAGCGTGCGCAAACAAATAGCTGCCATAATAGCGTCGGAGCGGCCACCCGGGCACACAAACACACACACACACACATCCTGGCCAAGGCACCGGGCTCCAGCGCTGTGCAAACAAATTCGCATTAATAAAATAAAATGCACTAAAAATAAATACACACACACACATGCTAGTGCCGTAGTGTAAAACTATTTGGCATTGTGGGCGTTGGCGTGGGCGTGGCCGTTTGGCTGTCTTCCGGCACGCAGTGATTGTAGCAGTTGGACGTCTGCTATACAAAGAGAAGCTAATAGAAATGTTATTTCATTCTACTTTTTTTCCCTCCTTTTTTTTTGCATACCCTTTGCCCATGAAGTGCTTGAAAGGGGGCATATTAAGCTGAACGAATGTATGTAACAGCAATGGAGGACCCTATAGGTAAACTCTATTGGGATCTAAACCTTAAACCAAACCAGTTGATCAACTAAAAAACAGCTCCTTCTCATCAGTTCTGTTTACAGGGTATCTTAACGTGAGCGACACTTGTGCACTTCTATTATTTGAAAATTAGTTTTGCCAGTGCACACATTGAATGAATGCAAATATACGGGTCAATCTGACGTAGAACAGGGCAGGCAGAGAGCAAAAAGTTGGGCGGTTGGGAGGGTTGTGAGAGCGCGAATACCGTGTGATAAATGATTTAGCCAATTGGTCTGGGCCATGTATGCTATTTAATTAATTTCTATTATAAATTCGCTTTTAAATGGTTTAAATTAAAATGTTGGGCTTTAATCAGGAAAAATAAGTAATATTTAAAAATGTTTTATTTGTTGTTCCCAACGATCTTTTGCTTTTTGGATAGTTGTCAAAATAGTTTTGTTTACTTTTATTCTATTAATGTTTTGATATGATCCGAATAGTTAGCTTTCTTTTTCAATTTCTTCTTCTGTAGCTCTTTTAATAACAAATTTCATAGTTTCCAAATATTTTATCACCGTTTCCATCTTCCATTTAGCTCGTGCTTCGTTCACCTTTCTTATCACATACTATCTACCTTGCTTCTTATCAGACTATTGTGACCGCTTCTTGAACATTGCCCCACTTCAAACATTGCACACAGTCGAACACGTCATAAAAAATATCACAAGCCGTCGAGCCCTTCGCTATTCAACTTTTAACTGAAATGTAGCCGCTTCATTGCAGCCCAACGGTTCCATTGTTGCACCTGGCATCCGCTCGCACTATGGTAAAAAGCCGACCCGAAACAAGCGACCGACTGCGACTGCACTGAGATATCATAAAAATAAACCAAAGTCAAATGTGTACCAGCAGATTTTTGCAATAATGTTAGCTTTTGGATTTTACAAGCGCCCAGCATCAAGCGGCATTTGTCTTTTTGTGCCCCGTCGCAACCCTGATTACCCCACAGCACCCCTTTGACCATCGTGTTCGGATGGCGCTGCGATTGCAATTGTTGCATTAGAGATGGGCGCGTGATAAATATATGTATAACTTTATACACATACGAAACAAAGAAATGGAAGTAGAAGATTGTTGCTATAAATATGCATGAAAATATTCCTACCAGTGTTGCAAAACTAACTACGCTGATCATTTTCACGATACTTTTGATAGTTTTATGAAATTTGTACAGACAGAGGGAAAATGAGGTATTTTCTAAAATTTAGCTTGAACTCAAAATGTTATGTATTTGAAGTAAGCTCAATGGTGGGCCCAAATGATAAAAGGTGAATAAAAAAGTGCACTTCAATAATTATGACACTTATTTAAATGCTGCTCAGAGATTAATTTATAGCTTTTAGCTTATTTTTCAGATCTCTAAAAATATAATAAAATGTGTAACAGTTTGAATAATTTAATTGATTATGATATTTTAAAACTTGAAAATAATAAAAATATTTTTAATATAATATCCATATTTTGCCTTTGATGTGAACATGGAAAATTGCACACTTATATTATGCATTAACTCTTTGACAATTAGAAACGCACAATAACTTAAAATAAGGACAAACTTGCTATCCATACTTAACTTTGATACCTGGCCAACAGCAATAATAGGAAATCTATCTATCATCTATTTAAATATGGCGTCAATTAAAACACGATGATTGCTCATCTCTAGCAGACACACATTCACACACACACACACACACTGTGAGACATGAAACGTGCAAACATTTGCCATATTTTTGTAATCAAAGTAAACAATCCATTTAACCAAACACAGCTAGCACACACACAGACGCGCACACACAGACGCGCTCACTATGGACAGCACATATGTATGTATATGTACATATGTATGTATTACTGCTGCCAGGTCTGGCAAGCTGGCAGCTGTTGCTGTCCAAACGTGGCATCTTTGGCAATTTTGCTTCATTTTCGATTTGGCCCGCGACCATGAAGCGCCCTCTGGCGGCCAACGGCATGGGCAGGACCGCCGCCGTTTGTTGTTATTGTCACTTGTTGTGTGGCGCTGCTGGTGTAGAGAGAGTGGGAAAGAGACAGAGCGAACGAGAGAGTGAGTGTCATTCATAATAATATTGTGCAGCCGGGCCGGCAGGGGGCGCCACGTGGAGCGCGACGTCTTTGACTCGTTTTTTATGCAAACAGCATTTGAATTTGAAATTTGAAAACGCCAGCGGTACAATGCGGCTTGGCAGTTGCAAGAGGTCAACCGTGGCAACAGTGGCTGCAAGTGGAAATAAACCATCAGCCCAACCAACCAACCACCCACCCATCCCCGCTGCGTCGTCAAGCTGCGGCATTGCATACTTTTCAGCGCCATGCGGTAACCTTTAGCACTGATATGACAACACTCCATGGCATCTGTGTCCATTGGCATTTTGTTTGTACACATTCCCCATATATGTATATGTGTGTGTGTGTGTGTGGGGGTGTGTCTTGGTTGTGTGTGTGTGTGTGCAAATAGTTTTTACTGTCGGCACAGCCACAAACTCAAATGCAGCCGTAAGGCAATAAAAGCAACGCGCCAACTTTGTTATTATGTTTTTATACCGCCAACAAACACACAAAAAAACTGACACACTCCAACAGGCACACACACACAGCATTTCTTTGCATAGTTTTTATGCGCTGACAGCAGCAACTGACACACCTGTTCAGCGACATGCGCTCCGCTGCTTTCGTCCCCGTCCCGTCCCCTTCCCCACCCCCACAGACCAACTCCGCTGCGCAACCCCTTCGGCTGCATTCATTTGCATTTGTATTTTTAGTTCTGTTTGCCCCCCACCCCCCCCCATCCCCCCCTCCTTTCTCGTCCACCTCTCCAGCCTCCCTCCCTTGACAAACCATACCTGACTCTTATTATTTTTGGTTGGTTTTCCACATTACAAAATGTGAATGTTGACATGTTTTGATTTTGATTTTAATTCAGCACCAGCAGCAGGCCGGGGGTGGGCGGGACTGGCAGGGACTGGCAGCTGCATAGCCATTCGGGCCAGTCGGTCTGGCCAAATTTCAGATTGGCAATATACACATGTGCCGTGCTGCAAACGGAGGGATCTGCGATTTGTGACTTTTGCACAAAATTGGATTGTAATAAGACAACAAAGCGAAGCTCAACAAAGGCGAAAGCATTTCCAAAGAATTTAATTAAATTGTCATTTTGGATAAGCCTGAACAGAAGAAGCAAACGTTCTTTTATTTGGGGAATGCCGGCACTGAAATACCCTGGCGGACGTGTAATAAACACAAAACTATTCCCTTTTTTCAAATTTTCGAAAGTTGCCAATAATTGAAAAAAAATTTCATATTTTCAGTAAGTTTTTTTTAGTTTTAACAAAAGGAACGGGTTTTCTCTTTGCTAAAACTAAATGAAAATATTTTCTAAATTTTCGAAGATTTTTCATTTCATAAATCGAATTAATTTTAATAGTTTTCTAAAATGTTTGAAACAGTGTTGCTGAGCTTATAATATCTTTATATCAGGCACACTTTGAAAGTTATATATACATATATATACATATATATACATATATATATATGATATAGAAAGCAGATATTAATAGGGTCAAATCTTTCTTGAGTCTCTTTTTAACAAATGTGTCCATTAAGTCTCAAGCCGAAACACTTTTACATATTTAAATAAAAATGGATATATGCCTAGATGCTGATCAAGAATATGTTTATATACTGTGAGGCTTCTTTGGGGTAGAAAAAAAAGCGGATATCGGAAAACTGCAAATGCCTCACTTTAGTTTAATTCAATTTCTATAAGATCCCTCTAAATTAAAAAAAAAAA